ACCGTGCACTAGTTCACTTGCAATTACGACAAAGCATAGGCAGAATAAAACAAGAAATTGCCACAACGAATGACCAACCACACTCCAAAGTGCTCGACAGAGTCTATGACAACCCACACCTGATCGCAAGCCAGTTACGGGAATTCTGTGATCATCTATTGCAAAATACCTCATGACAACCCAATATATAATTGATACCGCTTCTTCTTCGATTTAATTATCAAGTAATTGCGATTCAAAACTTTTGTCAATAAGTGACATCATCCCATTTTGTGTGCTCAAGAGTTATTGATGCAAGGAATTAGGCTTTCGTGTGGTTGATCTTTCATTTCTAATTTTATAATTCCTAGTCTGTTTTTACATACCATTGTTTGGGATCTGCTGACCCAACGTGTTTTTCATATGCCTGTTTGTCTTACACTGACAACTGAGGAGATTCAACAGAGTGATGACACCTCGTTACATTTGTTTTCGTTGGGTTCTGATGCGATGGATTAAGGATACCGAAAAGTTCCATTTACCGATCTGGATCAAGTTGACAGCCCTACCATGGGAGGGTTAGGCTGGCCACAAAGTCCAATTGATCACTGAATCCAACTTGGACAAGCTAAACTCTCAAGTTACCTCCTAGTGTATTTACCTATTTCAATGCACTTGCGTTGGCAGGTATATCGGAAGAACTGAAAGACGCTTGGCCACTCGGATTTCAGAACACGTCCCGAGAACTTTAGCACTCAACGGCTCGAAGATCCCCTCCAGCTCTATTGCTCGCCATACATTGGACTGCAAATCTTGCATAGATCCAAAGCAAGCATTCCGGGCGTTAAACCAACAGAAAACGGGGCGGTTGTTACAGTTCCAATTACATAGAAAACGGTTCTGTTGATAAGCAAATCATTATGACTGGCAGAGTTGCCGGGAAATTGGAGAGAGAGAAAAATTGTGGCGCATAATTAAAGCAAACAGTTTGTTGTTGAGCCTTTTATATTACAATAAACCATTCATTCAACCTTTATTTATTATCCTGAATCTATCACCAACCACCATTATCAGTGGATTGAGAAACGTTTACTTTAAATGTAGAGAATGGAAACAACTGTTTTTGGGAATTAAACTCATATGGCTTACTTCGGAGTAATCCGAATAAAACAGGAGTGATTAGGAGATTACCATGAACAGATACATTTTGTTTCTATCATTAAAAGCACAGGATTCTGATAAAAAATGTTTTTATATCAAATGTAATGAATGTTATTGGAGCATGAAACCGAGATCATCTTGAGAATCTATTCAATCATGTCAGTTTTATATAAATTAGGCGGGTATTGGTCAACATCTAAGCGACATTTGCGCATTCTTTCATTATTTCTATCCGTAAACCTGATCCATTAGGAGATATAAGATTCTAGCGATAAAATGTTGTTCCTTTAAAATCTTTGATATTATATGAACGCAGTAGTCTCGGCTTTTATCAATTCATCTGTCTATCCAACGAATCTCACTCAGTAAGTAGATCACACACCCGTCCGTTTTATTTCCAAATTCTCCAGACATTTGAAAAAGTCGTTGTTCAAAACATACTTCACGGTCGTTCCATTCTACTATGCGAGGCTATTCAATCGATCACAAGATGGCAATTTGTGAAAGCTGCATTACCACATGTGATGCATTGTACGGCATCTATGCTACGCGAAAAACTTCGAGAAAGACTGCTAAATACGCAACAATATCATAAACAATTACGTTCGGAAACAAATGCGGCGGTCAAACAAGCGCATAGTCCGTTACAATTCAGTCCGGCCGAGACGAAGCTTCTCTACACTTTGCACTGGATCCTGTTGGACGCGGCCTCGGAATGTGAGGACGCGGAATTGGAGGGCGCAGTGGGCAAAGGTGAGCGTGGTAGTCGGAGATTATTTGTTCACGTGTCACGTCCATTATTCCATGCAAGCGGATGTGAGATAGACAATGACGAGTGATTATGAAATAATGTGGTTAACTAGCGCATATCATTGTAAAATAAACAATTCAGTTTGTATAGTTTTCCCTGTTGCGCATATGTAGGCAAAACACATATTAACCTTCTGTGATCATACTATCCCGTGTATCAGTCAGGTGGCTTTTATGCCGTTCAAAAATGCGGGAAGAATCTCCGTGCATGGAAGTTCTGCATGACTGATAACAGCTCAACGTCCCGGGAACCAAAGTTTGGGACATTGATTCAAACACGTCTGAGTAGACGTTATTCATCCATAAAAGCCTTGAAATCAAACGGCTTTTCAAGATCTGAAAGTGAGCGAAATCTGGGTAGAAATAAGCACCTTGTCTTCTATGTTTAAACAAATTACCTCTAACTAGGTTATTTTCACCAGAATTTGCAAAATTTTGAGTTAACCCGTAGATTCATCGAATTGTTCAGCTTGTGTTGAGATGAAGTACCTTAATATCAGTTATGCTCCAAAATGTTTTCCTTTAGTACATTTAAAAGGAAACCGTAAAACTAAGAAATTGTTGCAGAAGCACTGATTTAGAGCCTAGGGAAGCCATAGTACCATCATATAAGCTAAAGTTTGAACAAACTCGAAATAAAGAAGGTTACCTAATCTCAGCAGAAATACGAGAGGTGATTAGATTGTTGCTTTTCTTAAAGCTAATCAATTCAAACGAACCACTGTGATATTGTTTTACCCCATCGAGAAGAGGTCGGAAGCGCATACTCAGTCAGATTGAGACTGCTTGAATGGGGATAAGTATACGTATACTTCACGCACTGATTAATAACTGAAAATTCTCGAATGCTGATTCAATGTGTACTTTTGGGTACATACTTTGTACTCATTCGCAGACGAATTCAGATAATCAGGTGTGATTGGGATCCCTATGGATGACAAGTGCTTCAATTTATTTGGATTGGTACAAGGACAATCTTGTCATATTTTCTTCCGGCACGCCCCGTTTGCTTTGCGGCGAAGAATCTTGAGCACGTTAATACCACCCTGACCCTGACCTGTCTTATTAAATAAAACTAACTTCGATTCAAATTTTACCCGATAGTGATAAGTATAACGATAAAATGAATTTAAATTACAGGTAACCATAAATAATAAGTAAAAAGGTGTTTGAAGCAAATACAAGTAAAATTCAGCTAGTATATCTGATACTTCGAAGTTGACGCGTTTCAGAGTAACGGGCTATGACGCTGTGACAACGTTGACAATAGAGGCCCAAGCGTGGGGGAATGATGTGGTTAAAGAATAGCGGTTACGAGAAGAAAATCGCAAAACCGATGAACTGTTTATGGCAATCTTGTTCACTTATTTGCATACTACTTAAATGATATTTTATTTCTTCCACTCCTGATCAAAATTAATTGCGATTCCGGTGATCAGAAACCCGTTGCCAAAGATAAATTTTAAAAAAATCATTACTTTGGTCTGTATGATTTGTGGTTCGAGTAATATCGATTGTCTCGACTGAAGTATAGGGTTCGAACAGAGACTGATATGAAAATAATCAGAGGACAGAATGGCGGTGGCAGTGGCGAGGTTCGAATGTAAAAAGCATGAGAGCATATCTGACGGTCCACAACACTTGACTACTGTCACTCAGATACGTTCCATCCAATTCAGTGTAAACAGTTGACAAACCGTTGATTGCATCTGACTGCCCAATTCTAACAGGAAATCAGGACCCTTCCGGTCAGAAGGCGTTCTAAAACAAACACTTCAGCTTGAAGAATAGACTTAAATAATCTCTGGAAAATGGACAACAGTGTTTGCTCCTAACAAATGTAAGTGATGTTATGCTGCCCCATCCTTGAGTGTCATTAGTGCTGCGCTACTCTGGATAAAGAAAGGTTATCAAAGAACGGTTCTTTTGCTTGGATTCAGGATAAATATTTAGACAAACAAATGTCTAAATTTCCAGACTGATGTGAATCATACCGGAATTGGTTTGAACGATATAAAAGAATGCACCCGAGGAGAGAGAATGTGTATCCCCAAGTCATGAATTCAACACACACAGATGCAAGGCAGAACTTCCTACTATTGGTAAAACGAGGTCAGTTCGTAAACTCAGAAGATACAGTAAAATAAACGTGCTCGTTGACTTACAGCTATCGTGATGATTTTCCATAGCTGCATCGAAACACATGCGAAAGAATGGCGGTACATGAGCTCTTTGTACGTGTAAGTCATTCCCCGCCAATTTCAAATGGTTTTAGGATCTGATTTATCTTTGTTTAGTGAATTCCACCAGACAAACCAGTTCTAAAACTATGAAAATGAAATCAAGAGTGACATGACAGTAAAGTCTAACAAAAACTGTGCTACTATGTTTTGCAGCAGCTTAGTTTATTCTAAGTGAACATCTTTAAATGAGACTGTAACGAAGCCTTTTTCATTGTCACGGTCCTGATCCCTAAACATTGGGTCCCCTTTGTTCAATTCGTTAGACCAGAAACAAGACAAATACCACGAAATGTAAACATTTCGTTTATTCTACTTAGTGGCTGAAACGTAAACAATCTGACATCCATCCAAGAGAATTTTGATAACTGTAGTGGATGAAAAGACAACATTCAAGGGAGAGGAGAATCTGTACTAGAATCAGTCCTACAGTAATGTGGCTGACTGCGTTAGTCACTTGTGTATACACAATATTGGATTACGTAATTTTTTTAAAATCGCTTCACTGAGGACTAAGAGCCTGGGGATTCCTATAACCTAAAAGTGACTTGAACGAAAAAAGGGGATAAACGGGGTCTGGTGAAAGCTCTGTTTTAAAACTCTAGAAATATTTGCTCTGCTGTCATGCTTCAAGAAGAAGAGGCCCTTCTATGAAGGGTGCTAATGGATAATGGTTATGTGCAGAAATTTATTGGTGCCTAGCAGACGAAGGCCACCGTCTGATCCCCTCTTCGAAGCACCTGTTTATCATCTTCCAATGAACGACGTGTGTCAGAAGCTGAAGGCATCATTTCGTCAAACACTTCCTGCTACACGGCTTAGACTGATACCACACACCTTGGGAAGTCATTTGGATAACCAAAATCAGAGCCAGAAGCCCAATTCTGCTTCACATGTTGTCTACCAGTTTACCTGCAGTTGCGGTGACACCTAAATCGGTAAAACGAATCGGCCCCTGTCACAACGAATATCAGAACCTATTCCAAACTGGTTACTGTAATCAGTGATACAGCACAATTATAGACGTCAATCTAATGAAAGAAATCCCGGGGTCATCAATCGCTAAATATCTCATGACAACCAGACAAAGCATTGACCCACTTTTTTCGTTCAAGTCACTATTGTGTTTCACGAATCTCATTACATCACGTTACTGTGAGACTGCTTCTGGAAATGATCCCCTCCTAACTGCTGTCCGTTAAACCACTTCAGTTATCAAAATTTTCTTGTATACATGCCAGATTGTTTACGTTTTATCCAATGAGGAAATTAAAAGAAATGTTAACATATCATGGTATATATCTTCAGTTTTACCGGTCCTGATCGTTCATCCTTATTTGACCCGGATAATTCGGTTGGTGCGCTCCTCACACATCCATTCTTCCTTTCTTCATTAGCTGGAAGAACGCCAAAGAATCGATTTCTTCACGATCTGTCTTCGTTGCAACTCTTCGTCTACTTGTTTGCTCCAATTATTGAGCAACTGACCGCGGCGGACTTCGAAACACTAAAGCTAGAATCCGGATTATCCATTTGGGTCCCATTGATGTCATATCGAACGCCACTGCATAGCACTCTGCCAGTTCCGGTAAAACTTTTTGACGCAGACCACTTATTACTTTGTCGACCATGGACTGGATCTTTCGGTATGGTGGAGACAAACCGGCCGACAACTTCGACTGGAAGCAGCGGTGTACCTCAGCGAACCAACACGAAAATGCTTGGTGGAATATACCTAGGTGAGGAACGGAAAACTGACGTAATAACTGGACCGATGACGACTGAGAATGTAAAACCATTTGGATTGAATCTGACTGCCGATTCCATTCCCCATGCCGAAGCCAATTCCGACGTGAGNCCTCGGCTAGAGTGTTATGCGCAAAGTTCCAGTCACCCCAGCATGTTGTGTGTGTGAAAGTCTACTAATGTACTTGATTCCCCAATGTCTGATAGTCTTATTTGATCGTTCTTAAGCTGTATTGTTGTGTTTTACCGAATGTTTTACACTCAGGAAAAAATAGGCAAATATGAACACAAATGTGGGTCACTGTAGTTTGGCGTGGATTCGAGGAGACGTTTTTCCACTTTATTTGTTTTTCACTTACATACATGATTTACCATTTGCCATACTGAACAAAAATCGTTAGTTGCTCCGATGACGAGATGCAATATCAGGTCATGATAACGGTCACTGCAAGTTAGTCCGAGGTTCAACCAGTCTCCGAACAATGCGCTGTTCATTGGATTACTTAAACACTTTTTTGATATCTTTTAAAACATTTACCGCCTAGTCAGAATTTTGGTCCATTCTGCTCTATATACGCTTTCATCTAGGTTCAACAGTGCCTCCTCTAGCTTACACCCTGTAAAACAAAGTGAGAAACTGTTATGTAAACTATCAGCCTGTAATGATCATTCGTCCTGTTTTAGTCAAGCTCATTTCGACCTGTGTTCACTGAAATACAAGTTTTTATACTCGCAAAATTCTTTACTGTTACCACTGCCACTACTCTTACTACTACTACTACTACTACTTATAATAATAATAATAATGATTATGGCTCGGTAAATAGCTAGCGAGTTACCGGTAACAAGAGATGTTTTCACCGGTAGTAACCCTGCGTGGTACCTATTATTCCCAATCGGAATTCACACCTGTAATGAAGCGCTAGTTATTTCGGGATAAATTCTGTCCGTCTGTTATAAAAGATGAATCTCACTCTAATTGGCATAAAAGGAAATGTTTAGCTCATAATGATTAACAGCGATTATTCGCCTGGATCACCAGTTAACTGATCTCACGATTGTATTATTCTTTTAAAAATTGTTCCGTTTAAATGGTAAGACTTCCACAACCTTATAGTCGTCATGCTTTGTAAGAAACTGTGTTACTCACCCTTAGGCTATACAACGCACCTAACCCCATCACATAGATTCGAAGCATTATAATACAAAACGCTAGTTTGAATGTGAACATACTTTAGCTCACGGTTGCTGTAGGTCACATATCAAGAGATTTAACTACCACATGGAAATAAAACATTTTCCCCTTGCTTTTGTTAAGTTTGGAATCAGTCAGACAGTAGTTTCACACATTCTCTTTTCCGTTTTCCGTTCTTCACTGATGAACATGCGGGTTTGAAATGGGGGGTGCTGGTGTCTGCATAGAGAGCGGATCGTGTTCACGTATACAACTCAGTCGGTTGGTTGGATATAACTTCGATCAATGTATTATGTGTCCAACCAACGGGTTGCTCTGATTGGGTTGCTTATACCCGAATTCATTTGGTTGACTGATTTTTTTCTAAGATTACACAGATTCTGGCAAACTGTACCCGGGTTAATTCCATCTCTCCCGCTCTAACTGGTGCTCACATTCGATCAGTCTAATAGGACACAATGAACAAAAATAACGTGCCATTGCAACCGGTTCAGTTTGCTTATCCTTCATGAGTTATCTACTCAAATGCTGATCACTGTGCTGAAAAGTTAGACGGCTAAGAAATGTTAGTGCATTCAGCCAGAAATTTAAATATTCTGAGACTGTTGTAATGTGTTTGGTAGTTTCAGAGTGGGAGGTTGGATTAGTTTGCCTATTTACTTATTGACCTCAGTCAATATGGTAATTTGTCGTGTTGAGAACAAATGAAAGGTGAACTGAAAAACTAGGAAGCACTGGAAAGCTGGTTGACTCTCACCAGCAATGCGAATTCATCAAGCCAAATGGGGATCGAACCCGAGACTTGACCTGTAGAACACAAGCATACTACCCACTCAACCACCAGATAACTGATCAGATACCTTTTCATTTTCGTTATACAGGATATAGTACAACCCATCTTTGCGAGCTGAATGCTGTGTGGTGGATGGGAGGGTAGTATGCTTACTTTCTGCGTGTGAGGTCCCTGGTTCGGTCCCCCAGTTAGCTCAATGGATTCGCATTGATCATGAGACCCGACCAGGTCGAAATAGTCATGCAGTGCTTTCTGACTTTTCAGTTCACATTTAATTAGCTCTTCGCACGACGAAATTCATCATATGAACGAAGTAAATTAAATTAAATTAAAGATGTGCCTCGCTTTTCGGTCATTATGGTTACTATTCGGTGGATATACGATAGGAAACATTCACTAACAAACCGTGTAAGTATTAGGTTAAGTATTCCAGGATAATTTGAAATATCTGTTTTGATTTTATTCCGTTATTTCTGTCCTTCCAGTTGTGCATAACCGCTGCTATTTAAAGGCGTCTAGCCCTTATTCGAGAAGGAGCTAGTTTTATCAATCATTCTGCGGATGGCTACCTACGTACGGTGGTTGCCCGAGTCTTAGTCAACGCATATTGCTGTGCGAGGTGATCTCGTTATTAAGCAACAGCCTACTAGTAGGCCTTAAATCTTCATGTTAGCCAATGCATGACATCTGCCCGTCCAGTGTGATACAATGCTTGGTTCGTTCAGCTCAGTCAAAGGGTCTTCTTACAACACAAACAAATTTTCTGTGCTATCACATTCAAGGCGAAACTTGAGGTCCCAATCCTGTCATCTTACTTTCTCTCTGTGGTGAGATGATCGAAAGATTCCAACAGTCTCGAGCGGTTAAATACCCCATTGCGCAGCTGTTGACGAACACCAGAAAATGACAGCTCTGTAGACATGTAAACCAGTTTGAAGTATTATCTAACTGCAACTCCATGGTGCTGTTTCCAGCTACGAAAATCTCTAGTAAGCTTGAGTCCTTTTAAAAAATGAGATCCTTGAAATAATTTGAATTTATCCATAACTTTTGATTTCGGTCGACTAAAGCAACAACTAAGGAAAACGTTTGTGCAAATATGCAAATATGTATATCTCAAGCATAAGATTACATAATTTAAGAGAATATGTGTGATTGGATGCAAAGTTCATCTTGCAGCGCAGTAAGTGATCCCTGGAAATACAACATCAACACCTTCATCCTAATTCCACTGTCAATCCCGGATCCGTGTGAATTCATCCACACCCTGTCGTTAAAATAGCTTTCTTTTATCCTAGCTGTCTATCAGACAGGACGGCCCACGCATATCATGCAGCTGGTGAGGTAAATTTCATCGAAACAAAGAGAATTGAGAAAAACTGGGCTGAAGAAGTGGCTTATACCCATACACAAAGGTGCGAGCCTCGTGGTCCTGTTTCAAACACACAGAAATTCCCTAAAGAGTGACTAGATGGCCAAAGATTTCTGAGTCGAATATATATGCTTTTACATGCATTTTGCGAGACGTTAGTTGGTGGAAACGTGACGAGCATAATTCAGGGTAGTCTAAACAACAAAATGGAGGGAAGGGCAGACCTTAGGTGGTTCTCCAAATGATATAGAACAGAATATAGAATAATATGTATACATATATAATTGTTTGTTGTAAACGATGAATAGCAATGAAGTATTCTTTATTTCCCCCATCACAACAAGACTGCACTTTGACGTGATGTGATGGATTGTGCACATCTCTAACTCAACGAGCTATACAGGGTGGCTGTTGTCAAGCCGAAGATCCAATCATGCCTGGAAGGTCGAAGGGTAGAGATTGGACGAAGTCGTCTCCCGGTCCTCCGGGTTGGGGGTTTGACTAGAATTTACCTTTCAGTCGGTAAAAATGGTGGAGGAGTGATCGATCCAAGTAAATAGGCCTCCGTTTCGCTTTACCCGCGGCCTTGCGGTTAAGTTCTTGGCAGAACTAAGGGCTTTGGTTGAGAACCCTAATCGTTCTCTTGCTTAGTGGCTGGACACCCTAGCAGTACCCATCCATCAAACCTCAATGCATATGTGTTGCGAGTTTGGCAGCTATCAGTGTATTTCGCTGTACGATGATGAGAATGATTATTCTTTATTTCCCGAGAGTTCTCCCTATTTTTACTTCTATATTCCTCGCCACATCTAGTGTCAACCATGGCCATGGCAGGGGTTTTGTTTCACACGTGCAGATGATACATTCACTGTCATGGAGAATATGATTGTTGAAAATTCGTTGAAAACGTCTTGTCTTTTTGAGCTATACGGATCATCTGGGGGAAACGAAAAAATTCGCGATGATTTCAAATATATGGCAATCGATAGGCCGTCCGAAACCAGTAACAGTATTCATAATTTTAAAAGCTTGAATATTCCCATGATAGCATTGAGAAAACGAGTCGGTGAGCGAACAATTGTTTTCGGATATTCCTAGTCATACGTATCATACAGTGGAAAAAATTCTTACATAATCATAGCCATTGGCTCATTTTAAAGTCAATATTCATAGGTAGATAGTAATGGGAGTGCGTATGTGTTTGCGTGTGTGTGTGTAGGAAAGTTTAACGTGTTAGTTGATGTGACCTTTCCCCACTTGGGTTAAAAGACACGTCATGTTCCGTCTTGGTTTTCACACACGGCCAAGGCAATTGGAGCGCCTGCACCAATCGTTTTTGGGCACAGGTCGGGGCTTAATTAGCGAATGGCGATCGCCTCGGCCATAGCTAGTGTCCAAACTCGGGCNATTGATTTGGATGCGATAAACCACATGAAAAGCTTTCTCGGGATCGATCTTGTGGTCGGTGTCGACGAGATGTCCCTCAAAGGCGCTTGAGATACAGCCGGTTTTTCCCTGACTCAACAATCGCGGGTGATGCTCCTTAACATGTTGAGACAAACGCCTTAACGTATGACCTATTTAACATGCGCCACAGACGCACTTAAAAGAGTAAATTATCATGGATGAGGT